CCATGAGATTAGCAGCCCAATAAGTAACGACTACGCTACCAGAGCTCCTTATCCAAAAGACAGAGGCAACCTAAATGCCATCAAGAGAGGAATGGATAAACAAAATGTGATGCATACAATATGATGGAATTTACTCAGCCACAAAGAGAAATGAAGTTCTGATATATGCTTCAACCTCTATGAGTCTTGAAGACATTACAATGAGTGAACTCAATTAGACCTAGAAGAGCTTTGTTGTTGTTGTTGTTAAGAGCTGTCGAGTCAGTTCTGGCTCATAGCAACACTGTATAGAGTTTCTGAGGAGCAGTTGGTAGGTTTGAACTGCCAGCCTCGTAGTTTGCAGTCCAGTGCTGATCTTACAGAGCCACAACAGGAATCTACTTACCTATAGTATCTAGAATAATCAAGTGGATACAGACCTATGTTTATTAGCGATTATTAGGGGTGGACAGGAGGAAGTGGCACAGAATGACTCACTGCTTAGAAGTCATTGAGCTTCTGCTAAGCGTGGTGGAAAATTTGGAAACAGTTCATGGTAATGATTGCATAGCATGATGAGCACAATGTCACTGAATTGTTAAAAGGGCAAGTGTCTTGTTAAATATATGTTGTTGCTAAGTGCCTTCGAACCTGTATAGGGTTTCCAAGGAGCAGCTGGTAAGCTTGAATCACTGACCTTGCAATTCAAATGGCTTTGCAGTCTGGCGCATTAACTCAGCGCCACACCAGGACTCCAGTTACATATATATTTACCATAATTTTAAAAAGAAGAAGAAAAGTAAAACTGGGCTAAGATTCTCTACACAGCAGGTAGATCTGGTAAATTACCGGGCAATATATGAGGAAGATTCCTCTATTTCATCCACACCAACCTTCTCAATACTAGTTTACTGCTCATCACTGCCTGTTCTTTCCAGGCACAAATTAGAATGGAGCACAAAGGAGGGAGAGCTGCATTCTTATCCTTGGTCAGACTGTGGTTTGAAGGTGCTCTAAGGTACACTTAGCTCACTGGAGTCTAAGTGAGCAGGGAGGTATGGATTTCATATGAACTCACTTCCCACAAGACTATCTATGCAGCTTGAAACATGTCAGTGTGCTGGATCCCAACATTTTCCCCACAACCGCCCTGCTTCCCTCAATCTGTTTTGCCTGCTGCCCAATCTCTAAGCCAGTCCACAGGGCTTCGGACTTAGGCTGCCAAAGACAAATAACCCACTAGCATCAGAACTCTAGAAAAAAATCTATCTGACAAGGATTATGCACACCACTGTCTCTGTAGAATTGAGTTCCAAATCTCTGAATCTTTATTAACACAAACTTTTGTGACTATAGCCCTCATTGTTAGGAACTGGGAATCTCAGTCCAGAACCATGGTTTCAGAGGCATTTTTAAGTTCTGGAGTTATGTGATTTCTGACTCTATATTATATGAGGGGACTTCAAAAAGTTGGTGAGGGAAAACGGTATTAAAAGACAAATGAAAATTTTCTATAAGCTGTTTGAAGCCCCCCTCATATTATGAGGGGGGCTTAAAAATAGTTGCTGGGTATTTGGGATAGAAAATGAATGTAATATCAGGGTCATTATTTATTAGGATTTAATTACAAGATGAGTATCATGTATTTCTCAAGCTCAAATGCCAAATAATAGCTAGTGTAATAATAAACCTTGCAGTTCAGTTCTCCTGAGCAATAGGTCTTTTTGCCTTCAGCTAGCATTTGTTGATAGCTCTCTCTGATTTGTTGGGAGAAAGCATTCTCTGGGCTGATAAAGAAGGAAATTGGGACGAGGAAATTAGGAAAGTTGCCTCAGATTGCCCACTTCACATGGGGTAAAATGGGCATTCTGATGGAGGTAGTTCAATACTGAAACTTGTGTTTTTAATCGCTACACCTTCCATTAGGTGGAGAAACCAAGACCCATAGTTGCTGTTGTTCTTAAGTGCCATGGAGTTGGTTCTAATTCATAGTGACCCTAAGTACAAACAGAAAATATACTGCTTGGACTTGGTACCATCTTCACAATCTTTCCTATGTCTGAGCTCACTGTTGAAGCCACTGTGCCAACCCAGCTCATTGAAGGTGTTCTTTTTTGCTGACCCTGTACTTACCAGGCATGATTGTCCTTCTCCAGCCCCTGGAGAAGAGAACTGGAGACATTTATGAAAAATGCTCAAGGTCACATTATTACTTCAATTTGACATAGATATTCAAATTTCAGCTCAATTCCCTTTTCAACTGTAAGCTAATACTATACCAGAGACCTGGAGATTTTTAGGCCACTAGGATAGTTTTTTGACACTAAAGCAAACAGCCACAGAACATCCAGACTCACAGTGGATTTTCTAAATGAAAAGTCCAAGCAAATAGTGGCTGAGGATATCTTCCGATTTCTGATAACCCTTGTGCTACTTAGAGCTGCTGGAGATGGCGCCAAATGTGTGAATCTGTCCACAAGACAAAAAGCTTTATCATAAGACCTGGCAGCCCATGATTAAAGAGCCACTGGAGTCTTCAGACCATAGATGTCCTTTCAAAAATGTTACACATTTGTTCTTGTTTCATGCCATGATAAAGTGTTTCCAGTCAAATGCACCAGCTTAAGTGAAACTATTTTCTAAAACAGAAAGAAACCAGTTGGGCCTAGCATTAATAAAGAAAGTGGGATTGTTTGAAGAGGCTTATGAAGAATCCTAGATGATACTAAAACTTTTAAGCAGGAAGATTGTTGGACCATTACCATCCAACTTCCCTCCAATTTACAGGGAGAAAACTCAGCGGAAGGGACTTGTTCTAAGCCACTGAGCAAGTTAGTGAACAGTGAGCTAGGATTTGTAATGAAATTTTGAACACGGACAAGTTTCAAACAGCTGACAGACACAGGCAGATAAATGATACTTTGCTCCTGAAAGGTACTCTAAAGGCACTTGGCTTCCTCACAATAGAGAACCATACAAAACTCGTTTGACAAAAGGCAGAAATGAAAGTTGGCAAAGTGCGGTGGTGGGGCGGGGGGAGTTGAATTGCTATTGCAAACAAGAGCTGAAAACTCTCTAGCCAGGAACCTGGATACAGGTTCCAGCTGTTAACCCGGTTAGGGGCTTCCCCTGCACTGACGCGGCCACGGAAGGGCAGGCATGACACTGCTCAGCGTCACCGCAGCATTACCCGCGCCCGGAAAACGAACCGGAGATCAAGAATTGAAGGCCACTCCCGTCTCTCCCTGGGTCCCTAGGGAGGCCCACGCCGGAGAGAAAGAAAGCCATGATAGGATGCCCGAGGGAGCTAAAGCGCCAGGGAATGCACCTGAAGAAGTTTCAGCTAGAGCAAGAAACTTTTTCTTTGATCTGCAACCAAGTTTCCAACCCACTGGGGAAAGTCCTGAGACAGTGTCAGGAAGATCTGGGTCGCACGCTTGGCTGCAACCCACTGCTTCGGGACTAGAGAAAGAAGGCGCACCTCCGCACACCCCCACCCCCACCCCCACCCCGGCTCTCACCTGCGATGTCCCAGAGCTGCAGGCGCACCACGGTCTCTGGGTCCCAGTGGAGCACCTTGAGTGCGAAGTCCACGCCGATGGTGGCCCGGTAGTGCGAGGAGAAGTTCTGGTGCACATAGCGCTTAATGATGCTGGTCTTGCCCACGCCCAGGTCACCGATCACCAGAAGCTTATATAGGTGCTCCTTATGCGGGGCTTGCATACTGGCTGCGGGCCCGCAGTGCCGTGCCCTGCGGGGTCGGGGAAGTGCAGCCACTTCTCGGAGAAAGACTCCACTTGAGGTGCGCTCTGGTACGCGCGAGAGAAAGGAGGCGGCGGGGCGGGCCCTGAGGAGCAACTCCTTCCGGACTGCTCAGAGAAACGCCCAGAGAGGAGCCCTGGGTTAATCCTTCCTGACCTGGGAGACAAGGCTTTGGAGAGGGTCGAGATAGGAGCGGATTCTCTGGACTGGAAACTAGGGGGCGCATGTGTTAATGCCCTGTGTAACACGTATTTGCACAGCGCTGTACTTTCCTTCCCAAGGAGCTCTGGTAGTGTAGTGGTTACGAGTCGGGCTGCGAACCTTAAGGTCAGCGGTTCGAACCTACCATTTCCAGAAGACTTCCCTCACCTGTGACCTGGTCACAAAGCTGTGATGTGTGGGTATTCTTTACCTTATTTAAAGTATGAGAACACTAAGTGTCAAAACTTAAGTGATTTGTTGGCAATGGCACAGCTGAGCACAGACTAGTTGGGGCCACTCATACATCACCCACTCCACAATACCACTCACTGTAGGAGGAGAGGCAGTAGAGAATGCAATTAGCAAACGGTGCAGGAAGACATGGGAATCCGGATGTAGTAGGATGAGCATTGGACAGCTAATCTCATGGTTGGGGTTCAAATCCACCACTTGCTCCTCAGAAATCCTGTAAAGGGCTGTTATGCTTGGGAATCGACTTGACTGCACTTAACGATAACAAACAACCTGAAGGTGTTAAGGAGGTGAGCATGCAAAAATATAGGAGTGAACACTTCTTACAAAAATGAGTTATTTTTGCCTAGATTTACTGGGAATGGAGTTCTATGCACACAGGCTCATTCCTTCATTCCAATTGCCTTATGAAGTGGGACACTTGATCAGTTAAAGATGAGGAAGTCAAAGCTGAGATCAGTTTAACCTTATATTAAAGACTTGCAGTTAGTAAATGGTATAACTGGGATTTAAATACAGGCTTTTGTGTAAAATACAAGGCGACATCATGGATGCGCACAAACATCCTTTAGCCTCCACCAGTCCCTAAAAAAGCAAAAGGATGCCTTATATGTGTGATTTGTACAATTCAAATAACCGCTCTTAGCCTTATTTTCCATATCTACAAAACAAGTATAATAATATCTATATTATGGAGTTATTGAGAAGATGATAGTTACTGCGTATAACAAAATGCCAACCCCACTGTAGGTACTAAACACATGGTGCTACCGTGAGTCAGAATTGATTGTAGGGCAATGCGTTTGGTTTAGTTTTAGTATTAATATGGCATGAAATGAAGGATAAACTCTCCACACCATATTCTTTAATGGAAAGACTATTGGCAGGCATTGTGTCTTGGTGATCTTAACCTCCCCTCAGAGGAAAACTTGGAAGCTTTGTTCATAATGGACATTAAGTGAAAGTGTATAGAATTGCATTGATTTTTTTTTGTCCCGAAGTTCTTAGATAAATAGTTCATCCATTGGTTTCTTCCCACATGGTACACACCAAGCAGATTATATCTAATAAATGTGATTAGTAAACTGCCTACTTAAATTATTGGTCACCTTCAGTTTACAGGGAGTGGAGTTTAGGAACTTGAGGTTATTAAGCCATTTGTAGTGCCTACAAAATTAGGCAGGCATGTTGACAAAACAAGACCCTTGCCAGATCTAAAATCTAATTTCTGTATATATGAAAGACATGCTTGGTGTGAGGAAAGAGACGATGGTGGTAGAAACACAAAGAGGGGTAAGAAATTTGTGACATAATGTGGGCAGCGCCTCAATTTTATAAGTGACCCAACTTCTTTGCAGGTCCCAGCCTGTTTTTCTAGTGAGATCCAGGCTGAGTCATCCTTACCTTCTCTTGGGCCCTACTTCTAATCAGAAGCATATTGGAGTATCAGAGGACTCGATTTAAAAGGAACAAGTAGGAGAAGATCTGGATTCCCTGGGGCATGAAGCTTAGAATTTTGAAGGGACCTCTTTAAATAAAAAGATACAGAAATTACAAATATAAATTTAGGCTAAGGATTTTAGAAGGGGTCCTAAAGCTTCAGCTTCATTGGCCATGGGGACAGGAGGTTCTCTGTCAGGAACAGTAGCCAACCATGGTGAGCAATCTCCCTGACTGGGCAGGAAGCATGTGCAATTTGTTTCCAGAGGCATTCATTTAGGTCTCATGACAATTCTTCACAGTGGGAAGAAATGACTTGTGGCTTATACTTTTAAGCCTTTACAAGTAAATGTGCTTGGTGGAGTACTCTAAAATATCATCTTTGTAAAAGCCACTCTAGGTTCTGACCCTGTAAGTCTACTTTGAAAAATGAGGTCCTTTGTTTGCAAGATTTCTAGAGTAATTTTGATTCGAAAATATCAGAATTCTGAGTTTTCTAGAATCATCTGGTTATTTTGACATCCCAGTTGATTCTAATCACCCCAAAAGGCACCATCAACCAAGAGATGGAGTTTTCTATGTTGCACGCCAGTTGCCCTCTTTTTAGGAGTGTTATTGAATAAGGGCAGAGAGATATGGGAGAAAGCTGTGAAGGGTCATTTCACAACACACATTATGCCATAATTCTTGTTTCATGGCCCTGTTCTTCCCTTGGTTGCTACACATTTTTTCTTTCAAGACTAAGGCTATCCAAGCACATTATTTTGGAGGATAAACTTTTCAGTGTTTCCCTACCTCATTTGAACTTGTTTCCTTTTCTCAGAATTTGGCTGCAGACAAGAAGCTATATAGCTGGGGACCGGCTATAAACTAGATTCAGGTCAGAGAGTCTTAAGATGGAAAAAAAAAAAAAAAAAAATCACAGATGGAGTGGGCATTAATAAGCAAGTATACCATTCTTGATTTCCTGCTGCAAATATATCAGAAGAATTCACCTGATACAATCTGATAATACAGCTGTCCCAGAAGTCTCTGGACTACCCAGCAAGATAGGATGTTCAACTTCATTACAAAAAGACCCTCAAAGGAGCTAGCTCTTCTTCCCTTCTGAAAGAGTAAGTAGGGCTGTGTCATGTGACTCCTCCTTTTAGCACCATGGAAACTTGTTTTCTACAGTAACTCTCAAAGTATCTCTGGTGATGTTTTGACAATCTCCCTACCCTCAAATTGCCAAACCACAACACACCCTATCCTGAAGGACAGAAAAGCAGGTGACTCAAGTCTGTAAAAAGTTCAGAGCACTCAGGATTCAAGCCTGGTATGGAATTTCAGAAGGCACAAAGTCAGATTTCTACATCTCCATTCCATTGCTGTCCAGTGCTGGCACACTTGCTTGCACTTTTTAAATTGAAAAAGTAATTAAAATGATTTGGAGATTGCTTTGCAATATAAATTTGAAGGGACAAACCCTCATGCTTCTCTTCCAGGGCTGCTATATTAGGTGAGTCCCTGTATAGTCACCTTATTTGCTTTCCTCAGTAAGAGCCATTGGGAGTTATTCATCAACTTAGGTGAGTTCTTAGTTATTACTCCAAAGAAACACTTAAATGGCTGTGAGAAGCAGTGTCCAAGGAACTGCTGTAGAAAAGGTGTGCTAATTTTCCTTAGACTAATATAGGTAATGTATCTGAAAAGAGATGCACTTTGCTCTGCAAAAGGCAAGACATGCCATATAATTTGTCATCCAACTGGGACTCCTGAGAGTGAAAGGGGGCATTATTAGTAATTATAACCAACAGCAGACACAAGTCTGGGCTGTCCTAAAGAATGTTCATACCTGAAACAGATTATTTACGTTTTCAAATGGGATCCACAAATAACAGTGGCATTGGAAACATCTCTTAAATTACTATTTTAATAGATAGTTCTGCCAAGTTAAGTCTACAGCTCACTTCTCTGTTGTCTTCAAATAGCTCCCTTTTTATCCACGAGGCTTGTCTGCGACCTGTACTAACTTGCCATGGAAGTTACATCAGTATTACAGCAGTTTTTCTGGAAGTAGGTAATAACTTTTAGATTATGCAGAGAGAGGCCAAAATGGGTTCTGTTTAGAAAGCACTTTAAATGGATCATTTCAACCTTTAAGGATTTTAATGTTGAATATTTTCTCCAGAAAAAAAAAAAAAACAATGATAAGATACTCAATGATTATCAACAGAAACATACTATATGTGACTTTTTAACATACCATTAGTATGGACTAAGAAAGCCAGCTTGTTCCCTAAGCCATTTCAGCAATAAATGTATTATCTGCTAAAACTGCATATCATAGCTGCATGTATTAGACTCACATGGCTGAGTGTCTCGCCAACAGGGATGAGTGTAAATTCATTATGGAACGGCCAAAAGACAAGTTTTTGATAACATGGAGTAAAAATGATTCATAGGAGCTAAGAATTTTAGCTTCTTTGTACTGGGTGCCTAAAATGGGCTAAATGCTTTAAGGAATTGGGCTCAAATAATTTAAATCATTTGCCAAAAATCACAGATGGGAAGTGACTGAATGAAACTTTTAATCTCTGATTTCAAAATGTGTGCTTTTTCTGATATTTTATAATCCTTCATTATGTTGATGAAATCCAAGTCTGGATTTCTATCCAAGCTTTGTTGCTGCTATACTATTAGACATTCAGGCTGGGAAGAAAAGGGATAATTATATATAATATCCACCCTATAAAATTCTAAATATCTAGGAAAATATTCAGTAGCCAAAGTGAAGAGAAATCTATGATTACCAAATAAAAGGATAGATCTCACATTCATGCAACAACTGAAGAAAGAAAGAAAAGAAAAAAAGGTAACAGAAAAACAAATACCATACTACTCATTTGTGGGAGTGATCTTACCCTGCATATATGGAGACCATATACCAAGGGGTCTATCTATATTGTTTTCAGAGGAAGTAACAGATTAATAATTTTGAATATCTCTAATGTAAGAGTCCCTGGTCCATAACAGGGGAAAACGTGGTCTAACTCAGAAGAACAACGCAAGAAAATTACTGACCTCCCAAACAGACAGACAGAAAGGCTGGAAGGCAGAAAGTTATTGACA